ACGCAATGAATGTTACACATAATAAGTTCTATTATTGCGTCTCTAGCAAGGCCTGTTATTGTTCTATTTGTTATACTGTACGACAAGCAGAACATAATCGTGTCTATTTCCTTTTGCGCCTCGCATAAATCCTCGTTGAGATTCGAATCGGGTTTATTATTCATGTCGATGTAAGTGTTCAATATATGCTAAAACCAAAATATGCAATAAACTTTTAATTACTAAAATACGTATAAAATAACTACATGTATTTTACTCGATAATTACCTGTAAACAATGTTGAGACGCGTTAACTCTGTTTATAGATATGCTGTTCATTAGTGCCAGACACCAAAACAGACCGACGCGTTTCATAACAAACTTAGTTCGACTGAAATTGTTTCTGCATAACTCGCCTACAATACGAATCGCGCTGCAGATCACTCCCTCATTCTTTTCCACTTTCACAAGTTGAACGATTTTGGGTACACCTTCCTTTTTGAAGATCTCCTCGGCACCTGTTTGGTCATCACGTGCGAGCACAAGCAGATTATTCATAGCGATTTCACGTTCCTTCTCACTTGCGTTCATGTCAAATGCCAAATCCAGCATTTCTGATACCTAAAACAAAACCAAATTAACCGTATACTTAAATATAATGATCTGCAATAAAAATTTAAATAACTGTGACATTATATTTGTATGATGTAATTTTTACCCGTATAGTGTGCAGACTATTAATTAACAAGAATTAATAATTAAACAATAAGAGACAAAAACTCAAATCCATTTATCAAATTATATGTGATATTGAGTGAAACAGAAACTCTTACTAATGCATCCAATACGAAAAATGTGTTACAATTATTATTTTATCTAGATTAAATTATCATGTCTTGCTAGTTGACGAACTTTTTTAATAGTTTTGTAACAGTTATGTATATTTACCTTGGCACTATGTGACCTTTTCTTACGTTCTTGTACAATTTTACGTAAGCGCTCCGCTATGCGTCGAGAATCTTCGTCATTGGGATCAGATGAAATAATAATCTCCGCGTCCCGATATGCCTCCTCGAATCTCTCTAACGCTTCTAGTGCTTTACATCTTATACGGAATGCTGTGTTACAACATAGCTTTAACGCACTGTTGCAGTCTTCAACTACTTTCTCGTAATTTTTCAGATCGAGATAAGTAAGAGCTCGATTTCGGTAGTATATTTGTTTACCATAATTGTCCTCGTCTACTTTCAGTGCGTTTGTGTAGTGACTTAATGCTTTTGACAAATTGCCTTTTTCATACTCGGCGGCACCCTTATTGTTCCATTGCCATGCACTCATATCTGACTTTGTCATGGTGGAATAACTCTACAACACAAATTATATGATGTTACATTATATGTTTTAACATAGAAAGAGTCTGACATTTAATAACATATCTCTTGATATATGTATTATCTTAAATGCAAAAAGCATAGAAGATAAAATTATTACTAAATAATTATATGCATGCATGAGAAAACATGTATAATGGACCAAAAATAAACGCACAATTCAATAATAACAATGTAATTTCTAGTGTGAGACCTGCATGTAAATTGTAATCAATTGCAATAATTTCTATACTAGAAAGTTGACTTTCTAGTTGAACAATAGAAAATAACAGAAGTCAATCATATATATGTCATCATTCAGCGTTCGTTCTCAGAATTTCTAGAAGTTGTGCATATTAGAATCAGACAATGTGGAACCATCCAGACGACTTATGACGCTACACGCAAATATTTTATTACGTCTTAATGCGACAGATATGCAATTATGTACGCTTTGCTGCAAGAATCAGGAGTAATTTACAT